CTGGATGAACAGGACCCCGATCGATCGATCCGGTTGGGGCTGGATGAACAGGACCCCGTGGAGGGCTAGATGAACAGGACGACCCCGTGGAGGGCTGGATGAACAGTAGACAGTGGAGGGGTGGATGAACAGTAGCCGTGGAGGGGTGGTTGAACAGGAGTCCGTGGAGAGGGGTGGTTGAACAGTAGCCGGTGGAGTAGCGCGCGGTGGAGGCTGGATGAACAGGAGCCCGTGGATGAACAGTCGCAGGTGGAGGCTGGAGGAGGTCGACGGTGGATGAACAGTAGCCCATGGAGACTAGAGGAGGTCGACGGTGGAGATGAACAGTATCCCGTGGAGTCCCGTTTTGCGGTACGCCACACCCCTCCCGATGAACAGGACCCCCATTTCGACCGTAGCGCTCCAACACAAGTCTGTTTCGTCCGCTTTGCGATACGCCACACCCCTCCCGATCAACAGGACCCCCGTTTCGACCGTAGGAGGTCCGTTTCCTCCGTTTTGCGGTACACCACACCCCTCCCGATGAACAGGATCCCGTTTCGAACATGGCTGGTCGAACACAAGGCCGTTTCCTCTGTTCTGCGGTACGCCAGGCCTCGTTTCCATCGCCTGTTCCGTCCAAGCCCTCCCGATGAATACAACCATGCATTCCGTTCTGACCCAGCCGGTTGGCTCCCACGCGTTCCATTGCCTCCCGATGAACACAACGCATTCCGGTGCCTCCCCATGAACACGATGCATTCCGTTACCTTCCCATGAACATGACGACGACGTTGTTTCTCCGTTCCGACTCAGCCATGTACACGAGCCCTGGCCGTACGTATGCGCGAGTAGGCGTTCGAGACCCCGCCCGTATGTACACATACATGGCCGTATTTTCTTTCTTGCACCCTGGCCATTGTACGTACGTATATATGCTACGTGCGCGCCTCTACTACGACACGTGCGCGCCTCTACTTCGACCAGTATATATGTATGTACATGTTCGCGACCAGACTGACAATGCTACGTACGCTTCGACCAGGTGGGTCCCGACTGTCACGCACTTCCTTGCGTGCGAAAATGTAGCTGGTGGGTCCCAGCAGTCAGGGGGTGAATCATTTTTTTCCTGGATGCACTTCCTTGTGTGCAAAGATGTAGCTGGTGGGTCCCAGCAGTCAGGGGGCGA